GCGCTACAAAATTCAAGATCTCAGCAGCCCTAAACCCTAAACTCTAAACCCTAAACAATGTCTCAGCAGCACATGTACTCTGCCGGAGGCAGCTTGGGCCAGTATCGAGAATTCTCGTCGTTGAACTCGGCTACCGTCATCACATGGCCGTCATCGCCGTACTTCTGGTAGGTCTTGAAAGGCCCTTCCTTGGCTGACTTCTGAACCCCTCCTAAAAGTCTCCCTTTTAGGCTCGTTCTTGTAGTTTCTGCAAAAACCCAAAAGGTTAAAGTTCGAGGGGCCAGCCAGAAGAAACCCTAAACCCTAAACCCTGAACCCACCCTAAACCCTAAACCCTAAACCCTAAATCCTAAAAAGCCCAGCTTCTCTCACTTTGCAATTTTGCATGTTGAGGTTCTTGAAGATCGAGCCCGTGTCGGCCTGGACGCCGTTGCATTTGGGGGTTTTAGGGTTTAGCGTTTAGGGTTTAGGGCTTTAGGGCTTTAGGGCTTTAGGGGTTTAGGGGTTTAGGGGTTTAGGGGTTTCGGGTTTAGGGTTGAGGGTTTAAGGTTTAGGGTGGCGGCCTGGACACCGTTGCATTTCGGGGTGCAGCACTTTCCCCAGCCATAGACGCATGCGGAGGACTCTGCACCTGAATGCTTGGTGAAGTCCTCTGGCCAGGGTTTAAGGTTTAGGGTTTAGGGTTTGGGGTTTAGGGTTTAGGGTTTAGGGCTTAGGGGCTGAAGTCCTCTGGCCGCAAGGCAGAGATCGTGAAGATCTCGAGGCAAAGCCAAAGGAAGCGCATGATGCAAGTCACAAACTACAAGGAGGCTGAGGGGCTGAACCTGGCTAAGGTCACAGCCGCGGCATATCAACTTTTTACCCTGCACCCTACTAGGGTTTAGGGTTTCGGGTTCAGGGTTCAGGGTTCAGGGTGTAGGGCTTAAACCCTAGATCCACGACCCTCGACCATGAGGTTTCAAACTCGGGATGTATGGATTTAGGGCTAAACTAAACCCTAAACCCTAAACCCTAAACCCTAAACCCTAAACCCTAAACCCCGAGCTCAAGATGCATGGGTTGAAGGGTTCGGAAGGGAGGGGGGTTCAAGGGGAGTAATTAACCCAAGGTTCCCCAACACTCCTTACTACTCCCTGAGGCTCCCTAAGCTTCCGTAAGGTTGCCCTAGGGAACTACTCCCCATATGAACCTTGGGTTCTTAGGGAGAGGAACTTCTTTCGGGTTTAGGGTTTAGGGTTTAGGGGCTGTACCTGAATCGTACCTGGAACTAGGCCTACAACCAGACCTAAACTTTGAAGTTGGGAGGGTAAATTAGGGTTTAGGGTTTAGGCTGTTGGTGACAGCTTTTCCGGCTTGAGGTTTAATTAGGGCTAAGGGTTTAGGCCGCGCGCATGGGAACGAAGGGTTTGGGGTTCGCCTTGTACCCCTCAGAGCACAACACAGCACGATTCCGTTGCCGTCCATGCCGTCAAGAACTTCTTTGAAAAGTCCTCAGAACCTAGAGACTCCAAAACCCCTTACGTCAGGAATACGCCTTACGTCATACTACGGCTCCTTGTGTTATTTTTGGGGTTTAGGGTTTAGGGTGGCGGCCTGGACACCGTTGCATTTCGGGGTGCAGCACTTTTCCCAGCCATAGACGCATGCGGAGGACTCTGCACCTGAATGCCCGGTGAAGTCCTCTGGCCAGGGTTTAGGGTTTAGGGTTTAGGGTTTGGGGTTTAGGGTTTAGGGTTTCGGGCTTAGGGGCTGAAGTCCTCTGGCCGCAAGGCAGAGATCGTGAAGATCTCGAGGCAAAGCCAAAGGAAGCGCATGATGCAAGTCACAAACTACAAGGAGGCTGAGGGGCTGAACCTGGCTAAGGTCACAGCTGCGGCATATCAACTTTTTAGGGCTTAGGGAGCGGGCCAGGAAAAACTCTCCAGGCCTTCGCGGCGTTCATGGTTTAGGGTTTTTGGGGTTTCGAGCTGTTGTTGCCAGGGGTGAGGGGTTAGGGGTTTGAAGACTTTGGAGTTTTCCATCAACTCTAAACCCTCTACTTTCTGTTCAAGTTGGGCCCAAGACGAAGCATCTTGGTCAATTCGAACTTTCAAGTTGGGCCCAAGACGGGGCATCTTGGCCGAATCACGATCCCGAACGTCGACCGGCGGATATTCTCCTCATGAGTACCCCTCTTCTTCGTCAAAATCAATGGCGTCGGTATTCACAGCTCGCTCTTGACTTTTCCTTGGTCTCCCCCTTCTCGCTCTCCTCAATCGAAAGGGCGTTGCGGAAATAGGGGCAGCCGCGCGTTTTTACGCAGAGAAGAAACGTCAAGATCGGCGCACCCAGGAAGCGTGTCAAGCACAACAGATAGGCTTTGAACCCATCGTTTTCGAAACTATGGGAGGATGCGAGTTCGGAGCTTATCAACTTTTGAAAAGTCTCGGTCAAGAATACGACAAAGTCTTGAGTAGATCTGATGGGTCAACGAAATCTTTCTTGAAAGGACGCATCTCGATCGATATCCAACGCGGCCTATCCGATATTCTTGAACGTTGCCGGACAGCCCAACTCGCAGAGGGCGACACGGAGGGACACATTAGGAGATTCATTCACGAGTGTAGTGGGTAAGTCACTTCAAACATCTGGAGCCAGGTTATCTCTCCTTTTGAGGTGATCCAAATGTGGGCGTTTGCTGCCGTCAGTGGCGCGCTGCCGCCCATCGTGATGGTTTGTTCCCATTTGTACAGGTTTTCTTGACGAGAAGTGGGGATGCCGAGGATTTCTCCGTTGTTTTCTTGCGATCGCAGGACCTGGGGCTAAATTCGGGGTGGTGGCGGGCTTTTCAATTGGCTGCAGGTCCTATGATCGCTTGCTCTTGGGTCCTTCTGCTTTCTTCTGGCATCCGGTATTCTCCTTTGTATTATAATCGGAGCGTAAGTCTCCTCTCTCTTTTTCGATCTTAGATCGAATCACGAAGCTGGACTAATTGGAGCTTGTGGGAGTAGGAATCCAGGCTTCAAGTTGGGCCCAAGAGGGGCATCTTGTCGGAATCCAGGTTTCAAGCTGGGCCCAAGAAAGGCATCTTGGCCGAATCCAGCCTCAAGTTGTGCCCAGAGGGGCATCTTGGCCGAATGCCGGTTTCAAGTCCGGGCCAAGAGGGGCATCTTGGCAGAATCCAGATTTCAAGTTGGGCTCAAGAGGGGCATCTTGTCGCAATCCAGGTTTCAAGTTGGGCTCAAGAGGGGCATCTTGGCCGAATGCAGCTTTCAAGTTGGGCCCAAGAGGCGGGCATCTTGGCCGATTGGGCCCAAGAGGGAATTCTTGGCCGAATCAAGGTTTCAAGTTGGGCCCAAGGAGGCATCTTGGCCGAATCCAGGTTTCAAATTGGGCCGAAGAGGGGCATCTTGGCCGAATATCTTTGCCGAATCTAGGTTGGGCAGCAATGGTTGAAGCCCCTACCAACACGCACTCTAGACTCCAGGCAACTTTTTTTCAAGCGGATCTGCACCGGCACATCGCCCCAAGATGTCTGGGCTTCTACAGTTTCAACAATAGCAAAGCCAGCGTCGTGCGTCCACGGTGAGAATGAAGCGACAATCGCTCCGGATCGAAGGTTGCGAGCAAGATGAAGCTCCAGCTGCGCATGCAGCGGCTGCTCAAAAGAGAAATCCTTCGTTGCTGAAGACTTCTGAATTTCAATTCTCAAGGACGAGGCTTGCTTTAAGTCTGACCACCGAAAAGGCTAGCGAACATGCTTTATCTGGAAACATATATTTTTTGGAATGGGTTGAAAGTTCAGTGACCTGGTAGAGGGTCACGTTGCACTCACAAATGGCGAAATCCTGCAAGCTTCATATCAAGGATTACGACGAAGCGTTGTTGGCCAAAGCCCTTGCAAACAATTTGAAGGAAGGCGGGGGAGGGGGGGGGGGCAAGGTTGCTATGCAGCTTCATGCCAAACACAACAACACTGTTTCTCCCAACGCTCTTGTGAAACCGCATGTTTTTGTTGCAATTCGAAAGGCTGGGTTTAGGATTTAGGGTTCAGCGTGTTTAGCCTTGTGGTTTTACATGAGGGGTCTCAGTACCCTCAAAAAACGGTCACGTAGTACGACAGACAAGAATCGTTGAGGAAGACAGCCGCTGTTTCTTCCAAACCCTCACTCTCCACTGCACTGCCACAAACATGTCTGATCGAGAGCTGCTCCAGCTTGTTCTCGGACACAAGGCGGCGGGCTTGACTCACCGTTGAATTGCAAAGCACATCGTAGCCGATGCAGGACATTCCCAAAGCAGCCGCGAAGAAACATTGCTCTCCCAGGCCACTCCCCATGATGAAGGTCAGCGGATAAGCGTCGGCCATTCGAGACGAGTGTGAGTGGGCTGCTTCCATAACCCGGCGGAATCCTGTGAACCAAACCTTAGCTGCTGAGTTTCAAAAGGGAAAAAGGTTAGCCTTTGGGTTTTAAGGGGATTTTGTTGAACCCAAAAAGTTTTTGTAAAGGCTACCCCACCCAGCAGCTAAGAAACTGAGCCAAAGGAAGATGCAGCTCCGAGCCGGTTATGCGACAACCCGATGACCGCCACGGACTCGAGGAGAAACGGCACCTACAGGTTCTTCGACGACCACCCCGGAATCTCCGAGGCAAAATTAGGGTTTATGGAGGGTTTATCGGCTATTTTTTCCATCCGCCTGGCTGATGAGAACATCGCACTGCAGGGAAAGGGTTTAGGGTGTAGGGTTTAAGGTGCAGGGTTCAGATTGTCGTGAACGCACGAGAAGGGCGAGAACACGCGGCACTACAGGACCTAGGCGCCAGCCAGGCTTCGTCATTTTCCAGTGATCGAACCGCAGCCAAGGCAACTGGAAGCTTCCTGCATCTGAACTCAACAAAAAGTGGTGCCAACTGACATGCTGTTAACCATGGAAAAGCAAATTCCGGGAAACATGAACCCTAAACCCTAAGAGCCACCAAAACACTCCCGAAACCCTATAAAACCTCAACCCTAAAGCCCTAAAAGTCAAAAGTGATAACCAGCTTCCTCAGGGTCGGCTCTCGGCAAGCCTCTGCGAAAGATGCCGCCTCCTTTCGACGAGTTTCCAGATACAGGGTCTCATCTGGCAAGTTCATGATGAGAGAGCAGGGGAGCCGACCTGCCTCTCAATTGTTCATGGAATGGCTTAGGGTTTAGGAGTTAGGTTTAGGGTATACTGCACGAAACTTGAACATCATGTCCAAGAGCGGTCTACTAGTCCACGCCTCCCGTCGCAGCTGCACGGCACGCGTCAAGACCTCGGAAGCTTCTTCGTTGGCGCCCCGAGCTGCAAGGAAAATCCCGAGCCACTTATGAATGTCAAAGCGCTCACACTCCTCCGGTACGAGTTCGATGGCCTTGCGGTAGCTCTTCTCGCTTGCCCGCAGCTTGCCATCTTTGTGCTGTAGCCGCCCTAAGCCGAGGTGGGCAAGTCCAGCGGATGCCTCGAGCTTCAGGGCTGCCTTGTAAGCCTTCTTCGCGGCGCCATCCCTCCCAAGATCTTCATAAAGAGATGCCAAGCTCACCTAGGCTCCCTGACTAATTGGGGTTGACTTTTAGGGGATAAGAACACCAGACATTGGAATCAAGGTACTACTGAGCATCCTGGTCACATAGAGAGACGGAGCTTTTGCTGTCTCCAATGCTGCAAGTAGCAGCTTCTCGGCGCCGGCATAATCCGATCGCATCTGCTTCAGCTCTGCGAGGCCCTTGACTGCTTTCACATTGTCAGGCTCAAGCCGCAGGGCGGTCTGGTAGCTCTTCTCGATGTCTAACCTTTTGCTGCCGGCTACAGACTGAATGTAGCCCAAGTTGGCCCAGGCATGTGCCGATGTGGGGGTCAGACGCACGACCTCTGCAAAACTCTGCCTGGCAGCTGCCATGTCCCCAAGTGAAGCCAAGAGTTGCCCCAAAAAGTGATGTGCTTCCCCACTCGAGGGATCGAGTCGAAGGGCCTCCCGGACGCGAGCAACTGCAGCATGGTGCTGCCCTGCTGCAGACAGCTGCTGCGCCTCAAGCAAGTGTTCCAGGCCCTCGCCGGCCCCAGCCGGAGCAGAAAAAGCGATCAGCAGGACGGCGCTGCGGAGCACGCAAGGCTTCATAAGGAGAAGGCGGTCGAACTGTCCAGTTCAGCCCTCACTACTGGAAGATGTAACAACTCCATGTGTGAAGCCACTATATACTCACCATGCCGTGGAAGCACCCATTGACCGCATTCGCGGTCGGGGCCTGCATAATTCCCTGCCAAGTTCGGATTCGGAAACCCAAGTTCCCCAAGCTGCCTTTGCTCTGTATTTTAAATGCTGTTTAGCTCCAAGCACTTAACCTAGTGCCTGCAGGCTAGGGAACATCCGGTGACCGAGTATCAGGGTGTAGATGGGCAGAGGTTTCGTTGAGAATATGCCCTTTGCAAGGCCTGGACTTCTAGATCTGGGTCCCATGATTCGGGTGTAGGGTTTAGGGTTTGGATCTCGGGTTGAGGGGAGGCATTCGTGGGTTTAGGGTTTAAGTTTATAGTGGTTCAGGGATTTGCCCATATGTCCCGGCACTACCTCTGCGATAGAGCCTTTCATGAAGAGGCGGCCCTAAAACCCTAAACCCTGAAACCGTAAATTAGTAAACCCTAACACCCCCTAATTCCAACAGCCGGCAACAAAGAGAAGCGTGGATTTGGGAGGCGGGGGCTAACAAGGGCCTATACCCTTCGGCGCACAAGACGCATGAACCGTGAAACCATGCTCCCTTGAAACCTAGGGTTTGGGTTCAGGGTTCGGGTTCTAGGGTTCAGGGTCCCTAAACCCTAAACCCTAAACCGCTGGAGAAGGGAACAGGGAACCGACCCTAGCCCTGAACGGGAAACGTGTAGTATCAGGCATCCTAGAACACTTCTATCGGCTTAGGGGTTTAGGGTCTAGGGTGTTAGGGTTGAGGGTTCAGGGTTTCGTTAGGGTTTAGGGTTTTAGGGGTCTTCCTCCTCTCTTTCCTCTTCCACTTTTTTCTTCTTATTCATTGTCGTTGTCTTCCTCTGCTTCTCTTCTGGCTTTGCCAGCAACCCTGCCCAAACCCTAAACCAGAACCTGTGCTGGCCACCCAGTTAGAGGAAGCATCCATAAAGCTCAGCCACAAGACACAAGCTTGCTTTGTAGGTTTTCCGGGATTTGGGTGCAGAGTCGTAGACTCTTACAAGCCCTAGCAGAGGCTTAAGGGCTTAGGGTTAAGGTTTTGGGGAACGCGAAGCCCTGAGACATTCGACAACAACTCGGACGATAGACATTGGGTCTCGTGCTTGTTTTTCGGGGATTAGTGAGTACATTCAGGCTAACAGCTCTCTCACGCAAGCTCACGGTTGAAAGCTCATGATAAAGAACAGCGTTGGTTGCTATTTGCGGAAGTACTGTTACCACGGTCTGTCGCCAAGAACTCTCACCAGTAGTCACTAATAATCACAAATAATACTGGCACGTGAACTCCCCCCACGTTTGAGCCGTTTTCGGGCTCACCCGTCCGCAAGCTTTGCTCACCGCTCACGCCTCCTCTTGCGACAATGCCTCTACAACCTGCTGAAATCAAACAACTCATGCTTTAAGTAGGCTTCCGGCTGAACGATATTCAAATAGTGCCGAGACCCCCAAACTCCTTGTCGTCTCGTTTGTCTCTGTTATCACCATCCCTCAGTTCGCAGAGCCTTTCCCGCACCTAAACACGGACGGCCGTAAGGCTTCACTGCTTGAAATCTTGTGATGTAGCAATTTCTGGCCACCAGCAGGATGATGTGGTAAGACGTGTTGCGATTTGTCGCTGAAGGGACGACATTCGAGGCAAGATGCTCTGCAAAACAATACGTGCTCTCTGCAAGGTCAAACCACGCACACTGCAAACCAAACACGCTGGGTCTCCTTTACAGATACAGGATGAGTATGATGCAAGTGCAGACAGTTCGCCAGAAGTTTGATGAGTAGCATCATCTCGCATTCCCCTCCCACCGTCCCCCTGAGCTATTTTTGGGCATGTGGGTGGGGAGTACATATGCAAGGCCTCTGATTCCATGTCACGTAAACATTCGATGCGGCTCTAGGAGCCACGGATCTCTTTGATACCGAGTGATGGCAGCGTGCTGCACACGAAAAACATGCGTGCCCTTGGGAACTGAAAAAGCTCTCAAGGCTGATGAAGGGTTTCGCCGAAGTTTAGCCTTCACACTCCGCTCGCACCCACTCGCTTGTTTCTTCGGGGTCACGCTGAGCAGAGGCATAGCGGCGCACCTGTTTAAGCTCCGACCCCCTGGGTGTTCATGTGGTTGGTTGAGGCATCCCATGTGACCCAAGTGCCCTATGTGTCTGGCACGCCCTAAACCCTAAACAGGTTCGAGCTGACGATGTGTTCGTGGGGGCTGCTCCACGGTACACCTACACAAGCGTAAGGACTGGAGAAGACTAAGGGTTGCACACTTCTTTGGTCACGCACGGCGCGTGCGTCTGGAAGCGCCGTACCGGCTAATGCTGCCGAAATTCCCCTAGGGGACAGAAGGCATCTGCCGGTACCTCTTTGTGCACTCCCCACTGAAAGCTGTTTGAAAGCTCCTTCGGAGCGTCAAAGAATCACAAAGTCACCCAACTGCTTTTTCAGTTAGGGCACAAAACTTAAATCGTAAACAAATCACGCGGCCGAGCGCAGCTCGGCAGCTGCAATCGCAAAAGACTCCCCGCCGCGGCAGACATCGAAGACACAATCGTCAAAGAGAGCAGAGTCCTGCGATTCTGCCCCAAGGTGTTTGATGCAGGTCTTCTCAGCTTGGGTCTTTGCTTCTTCGGTGCAAGAGGTCACGAGCAGGTGCTTTGCCTCCTGGTTCTTCTTCAAGAAAGATGCTGCGTCCAAGCTTCCGCCGAGAGACGTCCAGCTCTGCTCCACGGGAAACCTCTCCTGATGTTTGGAATTGCCTGCCTGGATTTGCCCTGTCAAGAACTGCTCCTCGAAGGCCTTCTGCGGAGAAACCCGCAAATTGATGGCACCACTCTTGCACACCGTGTTGAGGACAAGAACATCTTTCACGCCGTGGGAGGTCTTCATGCGAAGGTTGATATGCTTTGAGTTGACGTACTCAAAGCTCGTCACTTGCTGACCACCTTGGGAGGGGGGGGGGAGGTAAAAGGCCAGTTGGAGACTGTTTGTAGCTGTGGTTATGAAAGTGTCCATACCAGTGCCCCTTTTGGAGGAATCCGACTTTCAACCCCCGCCTTCCAAAAGGGACAGGGACATGTTTTGTTCGATGACCGACCATGAAGCATCGCCTGCCTTGCTCCGCCACTGGCAGTCCTCCGATGTCAGCTCCATTGCCTCGCAGTGTGTCGCTAAGGATGCTCTGCTCGCCCGGCGGCAAGCTGCAAGCACCACCGCTACACCACTACACGCACGACGACCAGCGACACTACTACTAGACTACTGCCCCCTGTGCCTGACGGAACTGGCCGTGGGATCGATCTACCAGGAGCAGACCCTGGACCGTCCACAGCTGGCCACCATAAGTGGCAAAGAGCTGCCAGTCGACATCGCCGGCCTGAAAGGCTCAGAAGAGAGCATCACATGGCTTCAGGGTGTTTAGGTGTGTGTGTGTGTGTGTGTGTTCCTGCTTGCAATGGTCACAACTGATACACGCTGCAGTGCGTTGTCGTGCGTTTCAGGAAAACACGGCATTGACGTGACAAAGAATTGGCAGGCTTGGTCTTAGTGACCAGTGTTGCTTCAAGACGGACTAGTAGAGCCCAGTAGAGCATGGGATCGTAGGATCCTGCGCTCCCTCTCTCTCTCTCCTTCGTTCCTTCCTTCTTTCTTTGGTTCTCTCTCTTCTTCTTCTTCTTCTTCTTCTTCTTCTTCTACCGTGGAGGACAGGGCAGAAGTTCCTGAACCTCCACGCGCCCTTCATGTCACAGTTGGAGTTGGCGTGAGACAAGAGAAGTAGGAGTCTGTTTGTTAAAGGAGGGTGCTCCCCCAACAAGATGGCAAAACCCGCCCACATGTCCTCGTAAGACACCTGCGACTACACTCTGCGATACCTTGCTCGATACTTTGATCGAAAACACGGAGAGCGAGCGAACCAAGGACTCCAGGTGAACATGCGCACACAGGGCAAACAACCTAGTTCTTTGTTCCCCCGGCCGCCCCCTTCTGCCATCGGGAAAAAACGTGCTCTCCCTCTCTCACTCCTCTGCGTGGTGTGTTATCCTACAACCAAGATGCTGGCATCACCGGCCTTTTGCATGGCGCCGCCGTAGTGGAACACCGAGTAGGTTCCTTTGTCGTAGAGATCAAACTCGCTCCCGTCCAGGGTATGGATGTGCGGATCTCCCACCACGCCTCCACTCACAGTACCAGCTCTTCTCTACTCTATGCCTCTACCGTGCCGAATGCCGTTAAGGGAATCTTCCTTGAACTGTCTGGGCCCCCCCGTTGTTGATGGTTTCGCGGTACAAGCCTTGATTCTGAGAAGGAGACGCAAGGAGCCGCTGCGGCGGGTACAAGACTCTACTCAATGAAGGCTACTTTGCCCCATCCGTCACCCGCCTCCGCTCCCGTCGCAGCACCCGAACTGAACCGCAAAGTTGCTCAGGTCCTTAATCTCGTTTGGATCTTTTCCTGGGTGCGTGATATTGGATGGAACGGAAGACTCAGAAAACCACACTACTTTCAAACTGGGCATTTTCAGGTTCCAGATCGCCTAAACGCAAAAACCCTACTTCCACTAGAAAAAGATCATCAGCTGGGACCCAAAAGTCCGATGTTCAGGCTCACAACGCAGAATTGGTCTGGAGCAGTCCACTTGGTGCAGACTGTCTTGTCTACTTTGCCATCTGATGGACCGCCGCCTGTACTCTTGCAGGAAACGGGCATGGCGTTTCGGCTAGTCATTCATTGAAAGAAAACCCTGCCATAAGAACAAACCTGATATGAGATGCCACAAGTGCGTGCCGGCCTGTCCCGCAAGTCTGCTTTCCAGAATAACATTGTGGACCTTCCCCGTTATTGGCGCTTCCGCTTTTGACGCAGATCTGAAGGGGGCAGATGCCTTCTGGGACAGTGAAGCAGGTGCCGGCCTCATCTGGAGCAAAGTCGATCTTTGCTGTTGTCCATGTGCCCGCGACCGGTTTCGGCTTGCATGGATTCTGCCAGTGTGTCTCCGAGAACCAGCACTTGCCCCGCTTCGTCTCCAACTGTTCGTGTGTGCAATCTACGTTGCTGGTAGTCTTGCACGTCTTTGTGTCCGTGAACTTCTTCTTGCAAGTGGCACTGGTTGGAAGACCTCCGGGTGTGCTGTCTTGTAGAAAAGCCGGCCTGTGCCCTGAGCTGTGCTGTTGCAGCCTTACTGCTCCAAGCCCTCAGTGATCAAAGTGTTAAACCGTCACTGCATTTGCCAATCTACAAGTTGGAGTAGCGGGTTTCGCTAGGCTCACGGATGAAAGACCACCAGACCAAATGTCAGCTTCAATGAAGTCCGCCAAGCTGCATGCAGGATGTGTCCTGCATTTCTGCCCAGGCACCGGCAAGGCAGACGCAAAGCCACATCGAGCGCGCCATGGTCAGCGGAGTCGCGAATAAGTTCAGTATCCAGGTATCTTGGGAAAACTGCTGCGGAGCTGGGCTCTTGGAGACGTTTTCTGGTCGAATGCCGGCAACCCGGACCAACCTAGGCAAAACCCCCAGCGACTTGCTGACGTGACACCGAGTGCCAGAACTCAGGGATCGAACCACTGTAGGAATGTTCCAGGTTTTTGGGCTCAGACCTTCAATCCACTCGCACCCACTCGCTTGTTTTTTTCGGGGTCACGCTGAGCAGAGGCATAGCGGCGCACCTGTTTAAGCTCCGACCCCCTGGGTGTTCATGTGGCTGGTTGAGGCATCCCATGTGACCCAAGTGCCCTATGTGTCTGGCACGCCCTAAACCCTAAACAGGTTCGAGCTGACGATGTGTTCGTGGGGGCTGCTCCACGGTACACCTACACAAGCGTAAGGACTGGAGAAGACTAAGGGTTGCACACTTCTTTGGTCACGCACGGCGCGTGCGTCTGGAAGCGCCGTACCGGCTAATGCTGCCGAAATTCCCCTAGGGGACAGAAGGCATCTGCCGGTACCTCTTTGTGCACTCCCCACTGAAAGCTGTTTGAAAGCTCCTTCGGAGCGTCAAAGAATCACAAAGTCACCCAACTGCTTTTTCAGTTAGGGCACAAAACTTAAATCGTAAACAAATCACGCGGCCGAGCGCAGCTCGGCAGCTGCAATCGCAAAAGACTCCCCGCCGCGGCAGACATCGAAGACACAATCGTCAAAGAGAGCAGAGTCCTGCGATTCTGCCCCAAGGTGTTTGATGCAGGTCTTCTCAGCTTGGGTCTTTGCTTCTTCGGTGCAAGAGGTCACGAGCAGGTGCTTTGCCTCCTGGTTCTTCTTCAAGAAAGATGCTGCGTCCAAGCTTCCGCCGAGAGACGTCCAGCTCTGCTCCACGGGAAACCTCTCCTGATGTTTGGAATTGCCTGCCTGGATTTGCCCTGTCAAGAACTGCTCCTCGAAGGCCTTCTGCGGAGAAACCCGCAAATTGATGGCACCACTCTTGCACACCGTGTTGAGGACAAGAACATCTTTCACGCCGTGGGAGGTCTTCATGCGAAGGTTGATATGCTTTGAGTTGACGTACTCAAAGCTCGTCACTTGCTGACCACCTTGGGAGGGGGGGGGGAGGTAAAAGGCCAGTTGGAGACTGTCTGTAGCTGTGGTTATGAAAGTGTCCATACCAGTGCCCCTTTTGGAGGAATCCGACTCTCAACCCCCGCCTTCCAAAAGGGACAGGGACGTGTTTTGTTCGATGACCGACCATGAAGCATCGCCTGCCTTGCTCCGCCACTGGCAGTCCTCCGATGTCAGCTCCATTGCCTCGCAGTGTGTCGCTAAGGATGCTCTGCTCGCCCGGCGGCAAGCTGCAAGCACCACCGCTACACCACTACACGCACGACGACCAGCGACACTACTACTAGACTACTGCCCCCTGTGCCTGACGGAACTGGCCGTGGGATCGATCTACCAGGAGCAGACCCTGGACCGTCCACAGCTGGCCACCATAAGTGGCAAAGAGCTGCCAGTCGACATCGCCGGCCTGAAAGGCTCAGAAGAGAGCATCACATGGCTTCAGGGTGTTTAGGTGTGTGTGTGTGTGTGTGTGTGTTCCTGCTTGCAATGGTCACAACTGATACACGCTGCAGTGCGTTGTCGTGCGTTTCAGGAAAACACGGCATTGACGTGACAAAGAATTGGCAGGCTTGGTCTTAGTGACCAGTGTTGCTTCAAGACGGACTAGTAGAGCCCAGTAGAGCATGGGATCGTAGGATCCTGCGCTCTCTCTCTCTCTCTCTCCTTCGTTCCTTCCTTCTTTCTTTGGTTCTCTCTCTTCTTCTTCTTCTTCTTCTTCTTCTTCTTCTACCGTGGAGGACAGGGCAGAAGTCCCTGAACCTCCACGCGCCCTTCATGTCACAGTTGGAGTTGGCGTGAGACAAGAGAAGTAGGAGTCTGTTTGTTAAAGGAGGGTGCTCCCCCAACAAGATGGCAAAACCCGCCCACATGTCCTCGTAAGACACCTGCGACTACACTCTGCGATACCTTGCTCGATACTTTGATCGAAAACACGGAGAGCGAGCGAACCAAGGACTCCAGGTGAACATGCGCACACAGGGCAAACAACCTAGTTCTTTGTTCCCCCGGCCGCCCCCTTCTGCCATCGGGAAAAAACGTGCTCTCCCTCTCTCACTCCTCTGCGTGGTGTGTTATCCTACAACCAAGATGCTGGCATCACCGGCCTTTTGCATGGCGCCGCCGTAGTGGAACACCGAGTAGGTTCCTTTGTCGTAGAGATCAAACTCGCTCCCGTCCAGGGTATGGATGTGCGGATCTCCCACCACGCCTCCACTCACAGTACCAGCTCTTCTCTACTCTATGCCTCTACCGTGCCGAATGCCGTTAAGGGAATCTTCCTTGAACTGTCTGGGCCCCCCCGTTGTTGATGGTTTCGCGGTACAAGCCTTGATTCTGAGAAGGAGACGCAAGGAGCCGCTGCGGCGGGTACAAGACTCTACTCAATGAAGGCTACTTTGCCCCATCCGTCACCCGCCTCCGCTCCCGTCGCAGCACCCGAACTGAACCGCAAAGTTGCTCAGGTCCTTAATCTCGTTTGGATCTTTTCCTGGGTGCGTGATATTGGATGGAACGGAAGACTCAGAAAACCACACTACTTTCAAACTGGGCATTTTCAGGTTCCAGATCGCCTAAACGCAAAAACCCTACTTCCACTAGAAAAAGATCATCAGCTGGGACCCAAAAGTCCGATGTTCAGGCTCACAACGCAGAATTGGTCTGGAGCAGTCCACTTGGTGCAGACTGTCTTGTCTACTTTGCCATCTGATGGACCGCCGCCTGTGTACTCTTGCAGGAAACGGGCATGGCGTTTCGGCTAGTCATTCATTGAAAGAAAACCCCGCCATAAGAACAAACCTGATATGAGATGCCACAAGTGCGTGCCGGCCTGTCCCGCAAGTCTGCTTTCCAGAATAACATTGTGGACCTTCCCCGTTATTGGCGCTTCCGCTTTTGACGCAGATCTGAAGGGGGCAGATGCCTTCTGGGACAGTGAAGCAGGTGCCGGCCTCATCTGGAGCAAAGTCGATCTTTGCTGTTGTCCATGTGCCCGCGACCGGTTTCGGCTTGCATGGATTCTGCCAGTGTGTCTCCGAGAACCAGCACTTGCCCCGCTTCGTCTCCAACTGTTCGTGTGTGCAATCTACGTTGCTGGTAGTCTTGCACGTCTTTGTGTCCGTGAACTTCTTCTTGCAAGTGGCACTGGTTGGAAGACCTCCGGGTGTGCTGTCTTGTAGAAAAGCCGGCCTGTGCCCTGAGCTGTGCTGTTGCAGCCTTACTGCTCCAAGCCCTCAGTGATCAAAGTGTTAAACCGTCACTGCATTTGCCAATCTACAAGTTGGAGTAGCGGGTTTCGCTAGGCTCACGGATGAAAGACCACCAGACCAAATGTCAGCTTCAATGAAGTCCGCCAAGCTGCATGCAGGATGTGTCCTGCATTTCTGCCCAGGCACCGGCAAGGCAGACGCAAAGCCACATCGAGCGCGCCATGGTCAGCGGAGTCGCGAATAAGTTCAGTATCCAGGTATCTTGGGAAAACTGCTGCGGAGCTGGGCTCTTGGAGACGTTTTCTGGTCGAATGCCGGCAACCCGGACCAACCTAGGCAAAACCCCCAGCGACTTGCTGACGTGACACCGAGTGCCAGAACTCAGGGATCGAACCACTGCAGGAATGTTCCAGGTTTTTGGGCTCAGACCTTCAATCCACTCGCACCCACTCGCTTGTTTTTTTCGGGGTCACGCTGAGCAGAGGCATAGCGGCGCACCTGTTTAAGCTCCGACCCCCTGGGTGTTCATGTGGCTGGTTGAGGCATCCCATGTGACCCAAGTGCCCTATGTGTCTGGCACGCCCTAAACCCTAAACAGGTTCGAGCTGACGATGTGTTCGTGGGGGCTGCTCCACGGTACACCTACACAAGCGTAAGGACTGGAGAAGACTAAGGGTTGCACACTTCTTTGGTCACGCACGGCGCGTGCGTCTGGAAGCGCCGTACCGGCTAATGCTGCCGAAATTCCCCTAGGGGACAGAAGGCATCTGCCGGTACCTCTTTGTGCACTCCCCACTGAAAGCTGTTTGAAAGCTCCTTCGGAGCGTCAAAGAATCACAAAGTCACCCAACTGTTTTTTCAGTTAGGGCACAAAACTTAAATCGTAAACAAATCACGCGGCCAAGCGCAGCTCGGCAGCTGCAATCGCAAAAGACTCCCCGCCGCGGCAGACATCGAAGACACAATCGTCAAAGAGAGCAGAGTCCTGCGATTCTGCCCCAAGGTGTTTGATGCAGGTCTTCTCAGCTTGGGTCTTTGCTTCTTCGGTGCAAGAGGTCACGAGCAGGTGCTTTGCCTCCTGGTTCTTCTTCAAGAAAGATGCTGCGTCCAAGCTTCCGCCGAGAGACGTCCAGCTCTGCTCCACGGGAAACCTCTCCTGATGTTTGGAATTGCCTGCCTGGATTTGCCCTGTCAAGAACTGCTCCTCGAAGGCCTTCTGCGGAGAAACCCGCAAATTGATGGCACCACTCTTGCACACCGTGTTGAGGACAAGAACATCTTTCACGCCGTGGGAGGTCTTCATGCGAAGGTTGATATGCTTTGAGTTGACGTACTCAAAGCTCGTCACTTGCTGACCACCTTGGGAGGGGGGGGGGGTAGGGGGCCAGTTGGAGACTGTCTGTAGCTGTGGTTATGAAAGTGTCCATACCAGTGCCCCTTTTGGAGGAATCCGACTCTCAACCCCCGCCTTCCAAAAGGGACAGGGACGTGTTTTGTTCGATGACCGACCATGAAGCATCGCCTGCCTTGCTCCGCCACTGGCAGTCCTCCGATGTCAGCTCCATTGCCTCGCAGTGTGTCGCTAAGGATGCTCTGCTCGCCCGGCGGCAAGCTGCAAGCACCACCGCTACACCACTACACGCACGACGACCAGCGACACTACTACTAGACTACTGCCCCCTGTGCCTGACGGAACTGGCCGTGGGATCGATCTACCAGGAGCAGACCCTGGACCGTCCACAGCTGGCCACCATAAGTGGCAAAGAGCTGCCAGTCGACATCGCCGGCCTGAAAGGCTCAGAAGAGAGCATCACATGGCTTCAGGGTGTTTAGGTGTGTGTGTGTGTGTGTGTGTGTTCCTGCTTGCAATGGTCACAACTGATACACGCTGCAGTGCGTTGTCGTGCGTTTCAGGAAAACACGGCATTGACGTGACAAAGAATTGGCAGGCTTGGTCTTAGTGACCAGTGTTGCTTCAAGACGGACTAGTAGAGCCCAGTAGAGCATGGGATCGTAGGATCCTGCGCTCTCTCTCTCTCTCTCTCCTTCGTTCCTTCCTTCTTTCTTTGGTTCTCTCTCTTCTTCTTCTTCTTCTTCTACCGTGGAGGACAGGGCAGAAGTCCCTGAACCTCCACGCGCCCTTCATGTCACAGTTGGAGTTGGCGTGAGACAAGAGAAGTAGGAGTCTGTTTGTTAAAGGAGGGTGCTCCCCCAACAAGATGGCAAAACCCGCCCACATGTCCTCGTAAGACACCTGCGACTACACTCTGCGATACCTTGCTCGATACTTTGATCGAAAACACGGAGAGCGAGCGAACCAAGGACTCCAGGTGAACATGCGCACACAGGGCAAACAACCTAGTTCTTTGTTCCCCCGGCCGCCCCCTTCTGCCATCGGGAAAAAACGTGCTCTCCCTCTCTCACTCCTCTACGTGGTGTGTTATCCTACAACCAAGATGCTGGCATCACCGGCCTTTTGCATGGCGCCGCCGTAGTGGAACACCGAGTAGGTTCCTTTGTCGTAGAGATCAAACTCGCTCCCGTCCAGGGTATGGATGTGCGGATCTCCCACCACGCCTCCACTCACAGTACCAGCTCTTCTCTACTCTATGCCTCTACCGTGCCGAATGCCGTTAAGGGAATCTTCCTTGAACTGTCTGGGCCCCCCCGTTGTTGATGGTTTCGCGGTACAAGCCTTGATTCTGAGAAGGAGACGCAAGGAGCCGCTGCGGCGGGTACAAGACTCTACTCAATGAAGGCTACTTTGCCCCATCCGTCACCCGCCTCCGCTCCCGTCGCAGCACCCGAACTGAACCGCAAAGTTGCTCAGGTCCTTAATCTCGTTTGGATCTTTTCCTGGGTGCGTGATATTGGATGGAACGGAAGACTCAGAAAACCACACTACTTTCAAACTGGGCATTTTCAGGTTCCAGATCGCCTAAACGCAAAAACCCTACTTCCACTAGAAAAAGATCATCAGCTGGGACCCAAAAGTCCGATGTTCAGGCTCACAACGCAGAATTGGTCTGGAGCAGTCCACTTGGTGCAGACTGTCTTGTCTACTTTGCCATCTGATGGACCGCCGCCTGTGTACTCTTGCAGGAAACGGGCATGGCGTTTCGGCTAGTCATTCATTGAAAGAAAACCCCGCCATAAGAACAAACCTGATATGAGATGCCACAAGTGCGTGCCGGCCTGTCCCGCAAGTCTGCTTTCCAGAATAACATTGTGGACCTTCCCCGTTATTGGCGCTTCCGCTTTTGACGCAGATCTGAAGGGGGCAGATGCCTTCTGGGACAGTGAAGCAGGTGCCGGCCTCATCTGGAGCAAAGTCGATCTTTGCTGTTGTCCATGTGCCCGCGACCGGTTTCGGCTTGCATGGATTCTGCCAGTGTGTCTCCGAGAACCAGCACTTGCCCCGCTTCGTCTCCAACTGTTCGTGTGTGCAATCTACGTTGCTGGTAGTCTTGCACGTCTTTGTGTCCGTGAACTTCTTCTTGCAAGTGGCACTGGTTGGAAGACCTCCGGATGTGCTGTCTTGTAGAAAAGCCGGCCTGTGCCCTGAGCTGTGCTGTTGCAGCCTTACTGCTCCAAGCCCTCAGTGATCAAAGAGTTAAACCGTCACTGCATTTGCCAATCTACAAGTTGGAGTAGCGGGTTTCGCTAGGCTCAGGGATGAAAGACCACCAGACCAAATGTCAGCTTCAATGAAATCCGCCAAGCTGCATGCAGGATGCGTCCTGCATTTCTGCCCAGGCACCGGCAAGGCAGACGCAAAGCCACATCGAGCGCGCCATGGTCAGCGGAGTCGCGAATAAGTTCAGTATCCAGGTATCTTGGGAAAACTGCTGCGGAGCTGGGCTCTTGGAGATTGGAAGGGGGCGTCGCTACATATGCGAAGCTAGATGTGACTCTCAAGCAATGGCGAAGGGCGGTTCTATAGTGTTTGCATACAATAGTAGTGTTTTTAATGTGGCCTTGAAGATTTACATGCACATATACCTAAACAAAAGGCCTGAAGTCTCCAGCAGGTCATAGGGGTGTTCGGATTGAGTGACTCGTTGCTTCGCGCGTTCGGAAGCTCAACGTCGCGAAGTCATGGATTCAGCCATTCTGGGAACTGAAAATTTAACGGTTTGTAGGGTTTAGGGTCCCGTAGAAGGGTTCAGATCACTCCCCCCTGCCACACTTGCCCCACTTGCCCAGCTGTGCTTGCCCCGCTTGCCCCACTTTGCCCCAATTGCCTCACTCCCACCCCCCCCCCCTTGCCCGTCCTCCTTGCCCCTGCTTGGGCCCTTCCTGGTTTCCGTCCCCCCGACCTGTTTTACAGATGCTGCTTGCGAAAGCAATTCGAAGCACGCGAGGGTTCATGGATCAACTGTAGCCCTTGTGCTGCAGATCAGCCTTGTAACATTGTAGTGGCCAAATGACCAAAGCTAAACATGGACGAGGAGGAGGGGGGGAACTCTCTGATGCTGCACCTCGGTTCTCGTTACCAGGTACGAGAGGGTGAATCGCATGAAGGCCTCCCCATGCAGATCGTGAACTCAAATAAGTGCGGTCGGCACCCGATAAACGATAGAGTTTGACAGCATGGCACATCAAGCCCGGACGGGACAACATTTTGAACGAACAACACCTGACCAACTCGTTCCAACACATTCAGCAGAAAGTGCATCAATACCAGCAAGTGTTCATGCTTCTACCGCTCGTTCCAGGATTTCCAAGTCGGTCCTGAGTTGACTACCGAAGCCTAGCATTCTCCACGCTGGAGCGCCAAGCTTTGTTTCTTAAAGCTCCAGACTGGCTGTCTGCAGGCTTTTTGAGGCATGATGATCACGGCCTTTTGGTGGTGACGTTATTTGCAGTTAATGGCCATCCATTAACCTCAAAGAACTCGCACTAGGTCTGGAATCGGGGACCCCCAACCCGCCGCCACTGACAACCCGAGCTTGCATTCCCCGAAGATCTCTCATCGCCCCGCCGCATCGCAGCCCGCATGGGTGCAGGCAGCCATGGAATCCAGACAGGAACTGCACCAAAGCTGTGGGATTGGAATACGTCGGATACAGTGCTGTGTCAAGTGTTGACATGTATGTATATATGCATGTATATAGATATGTGTCTATATGTAAATGCATAGAACCGTAGATATTATACATAGTGTTACTTGGACCCTGGACACAGGAAAGCGGATGTACATGTTGCATTGCATGCAATGCGGAACTTCAACTGAGGAATAAGTGCCTATAAAAGTCAAGAAAGTGCAGGTCTTCTGGCAGGAGCCACGGACCAGATCGATCCCAGGCCCCCGACCCTGGCCAACAAAAACATTCGCAGAATCGGAAGCTCAAAAGGCATGAATTCTGATATCTTCTAAACGATTCGCTAGTCGGCCGCAAACGCACATGTATTTGCACCGTCGTTTAGGACGTTTTCCTGGCATGAGATGCCCAAGCAGAACCAGCAACACTAATTCACAACCGGCTTGATTACAGGGTTTGTTAGCCGAGAATCAACATACACCTATGATTCTGCATGCATGCGCTATAGTCTGTCAATCCACACCGTACGGCGGCCCTATCTACGAGCTAAACATAGGCTGTAAACAGCTGCTTGTGTGTGTGTGTGGCTTAGTTTGAAGAAACCCTGGGCTAGCAAAACTGGTCAATGAAAAAACAATAACCCTTAATTGTAAAGCTTGCGGAGGCACGCACGTCCTGGGAAGCGTGAATATTATGAGCAGATCTCTTTTCATGTGTTCCTGGGAACTCCCAAAAGCCTCTGCTGAGGTTGGTTGACTGATTAAAGCGTTCAAAATGCTCAAATTAAAGTGCAAAAAAAATGCCTTTTGTGCGGGATTCAGCACGTGAGAGAAGCCGCGGTGGAGGGTCTAGGTGTTAAAACCCTGCCATGTAAAGCTTCGGGCAGATGCGATGCTTCTTCGCCGGAATATTCGAGGCTCAGCATGAGCGCGGCATGCGACATTTGGTCGCCTTTTTTTCTTGGAGTGTTAAGCAGAAGCTTTCCTCATACGGTGTGCACAGATGTACGTATGAGCACTCCCGAACCAGTCGAACAGCATACTTGTCATGCTCGTGAAGGAAAGAAGTGAACGTTGAATTCGCCATGGCTGATCATTCCATGCCTGTTGCCTCCCATCCCGATGATGACCACGACATTCAGTACCAACAGGTTATGACAGCCCAACTTGCTGCCAGCCCACAGGATGCTCTGCTGCCACCATCTGCACCGGTACATGATTCGAGACCTACGACGACCCCTATGGTGAATGGAACTGGACCACGAAGGCCTGCTGGACAGGGTCACGAAGGTGATGAAGCTCCGAGTCAGGTAGACACTGGACTGGAACGGCCACTTTCCTTGCCAATCGGACAACGTGCTGAGATGGGGGATCTGGCCCCTTCACCGCTTCCAGAACCGTCAGTGCTTGTGAATCAACCGGAACCGGGCGCGTATGATGTGGCACGAACAGCGGGACGAGCATCGAGTGAGCAGGCGACACCACTGCAATGGATGATGAGACTGGGTGATTTCTTTCAACGAATTTCGTCGACAGCAGTGTCAGGATCTGCTGGAACCCAACGTGCGGTTTTGCATCAAGAGATGCGGACAAGTTGGCCTCCGACTAATGCCTCGATGGAAGGAGCACCTTGGGCTACATCATCAACTTCGCCTTCGTTGATGCCACCGGGCACGGCGCAACATCTGCAGAATGTTTCTCCGCTGCTGCAACCCCCTCGCTCTACGAATACAACCCAGCATGGAGCCCCTTCGGATGGAACCTCTGAGTCCTTGCATCGTGAGGATGTACAAGCGGAAGTCAAAAGACAGCTGGCAGGGGTGATGACCCAACTGCAGGAAGAGAGGCGAAAGTCCGAGGAGGCCCTGGCACAAGCGCAGGCGATGAGGATGCAACTGGAGATGGAGCGAGCAGGAAGAAGTCGGACGGATGGCTTGCATGATGGAAATCCGATGTATGCAGTGGATGGGAATAATAGCATGGATGGACAGCATGTGAAAATGGAAGGCCGAGATGCGAGGGCGAATGCTTTACTCCCCTCAGGCCGAGAGCTCATGGGAGCACAGCAGGGCACCGAGCCAATGCACGCTGGAACTGTTGGACGTTTGAATCCGAGTGGTTCGGGCATTGCGTTGGGAGGTGGAGATGTTGGCTGGGCAAGTCAAGGAGACTTGCTTGGAATTCTTGGAGGGGAGGTCCCTCAACGTCAAGCCTTGGGAGGACAATCTCATGGACTACCTGAGCAATCGCAAGTACTACCTGGCTTTGGTTGGGATCTGGTTAATGGACCAGGTGCACAATCTAGGGAGCCAGCAGGTCAATTGCGAGGACTTTGTGAAGCATATGGGTTTAGTAGTTTGGGTGGACAATCTCCTGGACTACCGGAGCAATCGCAAGTACTACCTGGTCATCACCATAATGATGAGCACCGTCTACAGCATCCGGGAATATCTAATGTATGTCAGCCTGCACCTGTACCTGTCGTACCTCCACCACCAGTTCCTGAGCCCCAACAAGGTCGTTCAATTCGGGAGATGTTAGGCTTGGGAAGATCGTCAAGTCCCCCGCGGGAGTCGTTTACAAGACCTAACGAGGCACCGGGAAATTCCTCAACCAGTATGTCATCGTCTGAAAGGGTGCTGCTGTCAATGGCCCGAGGCATTGAAGAGCTTCTGAACAAGAACCAAAGTGCCTCCGGTCTTAAGCAAGGTCAGCCCGAGACGGTGAAGCCGGGGGTTCATGATCTGCCAAAGCTTGATGAGTATGCCCCGGAGACTGCCGCCATCGACCTCATCAACTGGATGACCCATATCAGCCCCATCCTGGAGGACATCTCAGACACGTCCGGAGCATGGTGGGGGGAGACGTTGAGACAAGCATCGCAGTGGTATCAGGCCTTTGCCGCGGCTTCCCCATTGCAACGATTGCAAATGAAACCTAGGGCTACCGGGCTACTTCTGAAGCCAGAATGGTCAAGAGTGGAAAGGAGGGCGGCGGCGATGCTCTTGTCTGCAGTTCCTGAGGCGCAACGACGAGACATTATCACCCATGGAGATGTCACGGCCTTGGGGGTGATGTGCAGAATTCTCACTGTGTATCAGCCGGGCAACAAGCAAGAGAAAACGTTGATCTTGCGGAACTTGGAGGCGCCTCCGGAATGCCAGTCGTCTATGCAGGCGGTAGAGGGCCTCAGGAAGTGGTTGCTGTGGCTGAAGAGGGCGAGAAGCATTGGCATAGTCGAGCCTGACGCCTCCATCTTGATGAGGGGATTGGATAGGCTGTCACAAGATGTGATTCGAGCAGATCATGAGCTGGCTTTTCGGGTCTCCTTGATGAGGGCTTCCTTGCAGGTGGATAACAACCCACAGCCACACACTGTGCTGCAGTACCACCAACACCTTTTGGCCGAATTGGAGACCCATGTGAGGACAATGGCTGGCGATGCGACGACCTCGACGACTTCACCTCCGAGAGTCAAGGGTGTTAGTGCATCGTCGACACCGACAAACAATGAGTCTCCTAAGAATCAGGGCCCTCCTACGACTACACCACCCGACGTCTGCAAGTTCTATCTCAAGGACAAGGGATGTACCAGGGGAAACAAGTGCAGGTACAAGCACACCATGGCGGGATTGCCCAAGGAAGCCAAGAAGTCGAAGTGCCTGGCGTGTGGGTCGACGAGTCACCGTGTCAAAGACTGTAGCGTGCCTGGAGTCAAGCGAAAAGACAAGGACACCACAGAAGGAGGTGGCAATCCATCAAGCTCGTCCTCAAGCACTACCCCGGTGACGCTTCCGAATGAAGGTGCATCAGGGCAAGACAAGGCCGCAGCACGACCACTACGAGCCATCACCTTTGAGCCCTCAGAGACAGCAGAAGTGAAAACCCTGATGGAAAGAGCTTTGGACGAGATCAAGAAGATGCGTGTGCTGAGGATGACTTGCGACACGATTGGACAGGCAGTTCGTGGAGCTCTTTTGGATTCAGGGGCCACTCATGCTTTACGAGGGGCGACAGCGGAGGAGAGGGCTACGGCTAGAACGGTGGATGTCGTGCTTGCTGGTGAAGGTCGGGCATCCATGAAGCAAACCGACGCGGGAACTCTTCTGGTGGATGATAAGACTCCTGGACTTCAAACCATTGTTCCCCTGGGCCGATTGATAAAATCCCTGGGGTACTCTTTGTCGTGGGATGCAAATGGATGCTGGTTGGTTTGTCCGGATGGAGCGAAAGAGGAGTTGTCACTTCGCAATGGGTGCCCCGAGATCGGTGATGAAAGAGGTTTGCGATTGATTGAAGAGCTCGAGAACCAGGTACGTGATGTGACCCAGGCCTCGGCGAAGAACCTCCAAGAGCAGAAGGTGAGCTGGTGGATGGCTATGCTGAGGTATGTCGAGACCCGAGAGGTGATGTGTGCTCAGGAGGCGTGGAGGAAGGCAGCGTTCCTTAAGGCGATTTCCGAGGAGGAGATGATGAGCTACCACGACCTGGAGGACATTAGCCCATGGGAGAGATTGAAGGGTCTTCCGGTGAATAGACGGCGGAGGAAAAGGTTGAGTCGATCTTCTACGTGGATACTACGATGGATATCGCACAGAGCGACTTCGAGATCCAATATGGTCGTTGGATGGAAAACATGACGCTGTGGTTCTGGACTTGGAGAGATTGAAGGGTCAGACCGGTGATGTGGAGATTTGGAAGATACTGCTGTGGGCTGCACTCCAGGGAAAGATTGCGGCGATGGTGGTTCAGGACGTTGCTTTGTCCGAATTGCAACATCAAGCGGATGAGGGATTCCGAGCAAAGATCCACTACTTGAATGTGATCTCCACAATGGCGAGATTCAGAACCCAAATCAGCGGTGGTCGTATCGAAACGGCATTGGTCCTGGAAAAGTGTTCGTCTGCGAAGGTGGGAGCCACCTGGGCGGAGGATGGGGCCTACAAGGTGTTCGCTGAGGAGGTGGGCATTGAGGGTGGATCCTTGAGTACCCAGGACACGGCGCGCTTCGTGAACGATTGGTGTGGACTTCAAAGCCCAACGAGGAGAAGGGTGGCGAGGTTGAAAACGGAAGCGGCTTGGAAAAATCACGTCTTGAACAACCACCAGCCGTTTGAGAGGAACTGTGCTGTGTGCGTCAGAAATGCAGCAACGGGGCGGCAGCATAGGGCTACGCTTCACCCTATGGCGTATACCCTGAGCATCGATGTGGCTGGGCCTCTGAAACACCTAGGCTCTACCCCAGACTCAAAGGGTCTTCGCTACTTCCTGATAGGCGCCTACCGGTTTCCAAAGCTTGCTGGCGTGACCGAGGAGGCTGGATACCCGATCCCGAAAGATGAGGATGATGAGTTCTCTGAAGGGGAGGAGGAACCGGGGGACTCCGATGGTTTTGGGGCAGGTATTGTGCCTGGTCCTGATGAAGTACCTGAAGGAGATATGCCCTCCGAGGAGGAGGAGAAGAAGGCCTGGGATGCACTGATGGAGTCGTTCAAGAAGCCGATGAAGTTGGAGACGGCCTACTTTGCTGTACCGATGAGGAATAAGGCTTCCAGCGTTCTACCAGCACTACAGCGGATCTATGTGGACATTAAGGCGCTGGGCTTTCCTCTACATCGGGTACATGGCGATAGAGCTGGTGAGCTGAGAAGTAAGATGATTAGGAATTGGATTCTTGGAAAAGGGATGATTCCTACAACGACGGAGGGAGACGATCCAGCCTCGAATGGTGTTGCGGAGGCAGGCGTGAAGTACCTCAAGAAGAGAATCCGCACGCTGTTAGATTCAGGGGCACTTCACAAAGGGGTCTGGCCGATGGCTCTCCATGCTGCAGCGGTCATGCAAAGGCACGATCGTATGGGACTTCCAAATCCAATGCTGGCGCCGTTTGGGTCACCATGCTACATCAAGACCAAGCGCTACAAGACAGGTGTTGTGGAAGACCTTGGGCCAAAGTGGACACGGGGGAAGTATCTTGGGCCATCTTTGGATGTTCGAGGAGGACATTGCCTTTTGAAGGATGGCGGGGGATATGTGCAAACCACCCATGTGAGAACCCCTGTGGAGCCGCCACCGCTGAAGGATGTGGTTCCTCCGTTGGTGGCCGAGCCGTCGTGGAGAATTCGCACCAAAACGAGGCCTGCAGATATGAAAGATCCTCCCCTCCAGTCAGCAAAAGAGGGAACTCTTCTCGCAACCGCCCGTGAAGGTCATCGCCGGCGACGTCGAATAAAGGTGAAATCCCCACCGGCTGATCGTACAGGTGAAGAACTTGGAGGACCAACAGAAGGAGGATGTGAGCCACGAAGTTCATCGACGAGCGCTTCTACCCCGAAAGTTCGAGCGATGCGGTCCCGAGCCAACAACAAGCAAATCTTGGCCGGTGTCAAGGACTTAGCTCAGCACCTGTTGAACATGGAGGACTTCACGAGGGAGGGTTGCTTGGAGTTGTTGGACAAGCTTGTGGTGGCTGCGAAGGTGAGGACTAGACGGGGGCAAGGTTGCTTCCAAGCATTTGGCGCCTACTGTCAGGGTGGAAACAGGGGGATTACAGTGCAAACCCGGAACAAGGGCTTCGTCGTGAAGTACTTGAATGAATACCTCAAAAGGGCCACCAATCATCTTCCTGAAGGAACAGTCAATTGGGCTACGTTGGGTGTGTTTACCGGAAATGCCATTCCCCCACACACTGACGTCCACAATGAGAGGGGGTCCTGGAACTATGTGGTGGAGGTCTCCGATGAATCGCGACGAGGGCTATGGGTATCTGGGGATGATCGTTCGAACCCAGCACGAGGTGAAGCTGAACCTGGCGAAGCATCTCAAGCGTTACCAGATGGAAGCCAATGCCCTGGAAGGTTCTACAACATAACGGAAAGGGCTACAGGGTTCAACCCGAAGAAGTTCCATGGTTTTGTCCATAACTCACCGAATGAATGGCTTCTGGTGGGATACACTCCTTCTGGAGTGGATCGACTGCAGGAGGAGGATTTGGACACACTTCGTGAGCTAGGATTTCCCCTTCGAGATGTTGCTCCACCTGAGGAGGAGGAGGAGACCGATCCGGATAGTGATGATGATTCCGACGAGGAGGAGGAGAAGATTCCGGATGATCCTGATCCAGATCAATACAACGAGGTCTCTGACGATGAGTTCACGGACAGGGATGATGAAGAGCCGGAAGAAAATACGGAGCCGATGGACGCGGAGTTTGTTGGGGAATGGGTGATTGAAATGGATGGCCCGAATGGTATGCGGAAGGTGGAGGTTTCCGAGCAGCCCACAACGGAAGACCTAATGATGGCTAGGAGGAGATGTTTGAATCTCTCGTTGGCGCAGGACTCCGAGGAAGTTGTGGTGGGGGAGCTAGAGAAACTACAGTCTCTCCTTGCAGAATGGGAACCTCTACAACCACGTGTCAAGAAAGCAGAGCCGGAGTACACGAAGAATATCGAAGGACTTCTCGATGGCTTAAAGGCAGCAGTGGACGTGGTGCACAACGTTAGCCCGGAAGAAGCCCGAGCGAATCTGGGGGTTTGGAAGGAGCCTATAGCGGAGGAGTTCGAGGTTGTGGAAAAGGGCTTTGAAAGGACAACGTGGGCCGAGATCAAGAAGAAGTTCAATATCGATGATATCCTTCAGGTGCCGGCCAAGATCGTGTATACGATCAAGCCCCCAAAGCCGGGGAGCCACAAGCTTTACCGGCGCAAAGCAAGGATTGTGGCTTGCGGGAACATGATCGACGAGCAGCTCGCCGAATGTTTTGCATCAGGAGCGGCGGGAGAGACGCTCCGCTGTCTTCTAGTGGAGGTGGGAAGAAGATCCTGGCTGGTGGGAGCAGTGGATGTCACTGGAGCATTCATGTTGACGCCGATGCCCACTGAGCCCGGTGAAAAGACGGTGGTCGTGACCCCCCCTGGTGTCTTGATACTCCTTGGCATTGTCCCGAAGCAGGAAAAATGGCGACTTACCCGGGCCTTGTATGGGTTGCGGCAAAGTCCAAGGCTATGGTCACAGTATCGGGATAAAGTGTTGAAGGCCCTCTACACCACCGTGAACGGCTGCACCATCTTTCTTCGTCAAGGGGATATCGAACCGAACCTGTGGACTGTGCATGCGGAAGGAACAGATGATATCCTAGGTGCTGTCCTGGTCTACGTCGATGATATGCTTCTGTGTGGCGAGAAGGCTGTGGTGTTAGCGTTGGGGGAGATGATTGCCAAGGAATGGAAGGTCTCGGAGTTGGAGCTTTGTGAATTGGGCCGAGCTGTAAAATTCCTGGGGTGTGAGATACATCTTTGTGAAGGGGGTTACTATGCGGTCAGCCAAGAGGCGTACATCACGGAGCTGATTCGGTCTTACCAACTACCACCTACGCATTTGGGAGTGGTGCCCTGTCCTCGTGAATGGCTGGCGATGGAAGATGATGATGGCAATGCCGATGGTCCCTCCTACACCGCAGAAGAGTTGAGGGCTGGCCAAAAGATAACGGGCGAGTTGCTTTGGCTAACACAACGCACCCGACCTGACTTAGCCTTCCACCTCTCGGTGATGTCAAGCCAAGTTCTGAAGAACCCTGCCAAAGTGACCCAGATTGGAATGCGTATCATGAGTTTTCTGCAGCGGACCAAGGACTATAAGTTGCATCTGAATCCGGTGGGCACAGTCCTTCAGGCATTCAGCGATTCGTCGTTTGCACCGACCGGACAGAGATCGCACACCGGGACCACCATATGCCTTTACTCATGCCCGGTGGCATGGCGAAGCGGTAGGCAGAGTTTCATTACTCTGTCGACCGCAGAATGCGAATTGGTTGCGGCGATAGACAGCGTGGTGCTGGCCCGATCAATCACATCCGTGGTGCGGCAGCTTGGAATTATGGTTCCAGTCCTGGAACTGCACGTGGATAATCAGGCCACGGTAAGCCTGGGCTCCGACGGAGCCGGGTCCTGGAGGACCCGACACCTCAAGGTCAGGGCAAGTTACCTCAGAGAACAAGTGGGCCGTGGAGAACTACGTGTACTGCATTGCAGAGGGGAGGTGCAGAAGGCGGACTTACTAACAAAATGCCTGCCCCGCCAGCGTCATTCTGACTTGTGCGAGCTTTGGCAGCTGGGAAGACAATCTTCAGATGGGATCAAAGCGAAGATCCTTCGAATCATTCTGCTGTGTGGTTGGATTTGTGGATCAAAGGGCGAAGACCTGGAGGTACCATTGCAGTTGGATGGATCTTTCGAGTTCTATGTCATCATGGCTATGGTGGGAGCTCTGCTGCTGGTGATATGGGAATTGTCCCGATGGGGGTGCAAGAAGGCCAACCATTGGTGGAGACGCCATCATGACCCTCGACGCCTTCGGAGATTGGAGCGCTTAAGGAACCTGGTTGAGGAGGAATTGGCTGAGCAGCTACAGGACCGTGTGCAGGACAAGGCCCCGATCGTGATGAAGGACCAAGAGGTGCAGTGCAACATGGGAATGACGAGGTTAGTGAATGCAGCCCCGACGAGAGTGGAGATAAGGGAGGTGGTGAAGGAGATTCGAGTGCCCGAGGTCCACGAGATTGTCAAGGAGATACAGGTCCCCGCGACAGGACCCTACTTCCTATCCACCAATGGGGAGCACGTTCACATACACCGAGATTGCTGGGGTTTGAGAAACGTATCGCAGGTTTCTCAACGAACTATGTGCAGCTGTTGTTTGAATGGAGGACGACAGCTTTACCCGGCAAGGACCATTTGAATTGGAGGAGGAGTGTTAAAACCCTGCCATGTAAAGCTTCGGGCAGATGCGATGCTTCTTCGCCGGAATATTCGAGGCTCAGCATGAGCGCGGCATGCGACATTTGGTCGCCCTTTTTTCTTGGAGTGTTAAGCAGAAGCTTTCCTCATACGGTGTGCACAGATGTACGTATGAGCACTCCCGAACCAGTCGAACAGCATACTTGTCATGCTCGTGAAGGAAAGAAGTGAACGTTGAATTCGCCATGGCTGATCATTCCATGCCTGTTGCCTCCCATCCCGATGATGACCACGACATTCAGTACCAACACTAGGGTTTAGGGTTTATGTGATAGGCTTCTGTAGCGAGAGACTTCTTGAAAACGATAGGGTTTGTAGGAAAGTGTCAATCACAACCGTATACGTTGACTAAGTTGACGACTCTGCAAAGGCCCCAGGTGCGATTGAGACTGCAGCAGTCACAACTTCGCCAATCATTGATGAATTGCAAGAAGAGATTGGAGAGACTGATCAACCCTCGAGCTCTGCTAACCCATTCTTTCGTAGGCGAGAAGCTTCAGGTGGCAACAGGCCGCCACAACCCGGGCAATTGAGCAAGATGTTTGAGCATGGAGTGCCAGCACGAGTTGAAAGCATTGAGCAGACTACCGAAGATTGCCTTCACTCACTGAACAGTCAAACCAGAGTTGAGCGGACTCCTCCGTCGGATACGCTTGCGGAGTTTCACTTGCAGTCTGGACTTGTTGATAAGAGCTGGATTCTGTTGGACAGTGGAGCCTCTGCGAATTGTTGTCCTTCATGGTTTGCAGAAGACTACCCGTTTGCTTCCTGTTGGTTCGGATTGCCCAGCACTCAGAAGCATTTCAGGCAAAACCGTCAACATCTTGGGCAAGAGAGTCATTGAGTTTCCTTTGGTTAGTGTTTCTCGTTTTCTATTGCAAGACTTCTGGACAGTTATGTCTCGCGACTTTTATGGCATTGATCACACCGGCAGGCCTTCCAGTGCCCATTGGTGTACCTCACTCCAACAGTCATTCCATTTGCTGCATCTAGTGCACCCAGGACTGATTTGGAGATTAGTGCTCTCATGGAAGGCATTGATCTCGATAGGATTGCATTTTAATTTGTTTTCCTGCAGAATTTTGAGCATTGATCACGCTGTAATGTGGCTCTCATTGCGTCACATTGCGATCACTCATTCGGTGCCTAGAGTAGTGTGAGCATTGCGTTGCCTGAGCGTTGCTTCGCTCGCGCCCTGTAGATTGGTACGTAGGTAGGAACATGGCCATTCCTGCGGGCGTGATTGCGCCGATTGTCCCATTGGCTGGTATGGATCAGCTGAAGGATGATTGCGAGCGATGCTCAATGAGTCAGCTATGCAGTATCACCGATTGCGTGACATTCTGGTCGATGCATTGGCATTGATGCCCACCGAAGAGTCATGTATGCCTATTGTGAGAAAGGTAGGCCTCGACATTGCCACCCCGAAGGCATTGTTGGTACACGCGAGGTTGATTGAAAACTGCATTGGTGGCGTTTTGCTGAACAACGCAAGTGTCATGACATTGGATCCGATTGACCAAGTCAACCCGTTGCGAATGGGTTCCTTTGCCAATTGAAGACTGAGCAGTTTCCGAACCCATTGGGGATTGGACCATCGGTTGGATTGTGATGGTGCATTGTGGCGTTCTCAGGGCAAGCAGGCATGCGGATTGGAAATGTCCCACCTTGCCTCCGGAGCTCATTGCTGACGGTGCAAGATGGCATGCTGGCATTGACCATTCGCACCATGCAGGTCCGGAACTGGACATTGTTTCGGACCATCGGCACATTGGTGGCGAGATGAACATTGATGGTTCATCGGTGACGATGCCGTTTTTCATTGCCCTGCCAGAGTCATTGATGCGAAGCGTTGCCGCCGAAGGAAGTCTCGCATTGGATGGTTTCCCGTGCGGGCAGGCCAACGCATTCTCATTCTGCACGATTGAGCAGAGCCTGCATCAGTGGCACAATCAGGTGCCATCGATTGAAGCTGGATCGCAAGAGAATGTGTGGATCATTGGCTTCCACCCGTCGAATGCTCGCTTCCCGACGACATTGAAGAACCCACTCGCTGGCAAAGGTGGATTGCTTCATTGGCACACTCAATCGTACTGTGGTCATTGCTTGATCCTGGACACGATTGATGATTCGACCATTTTCCAGCTGCAGGCAGCCGAATTGATGACCTCAATGGTCATTGACGCACGGTTGTCGCTGAAGGCATTGCTCGATGGTCTCAATTGGGATTTGAGTGGAGCAACTGAGCAGTTCTCGTTCCACCGGCACAATGCCATTCCAACCCGATTGAGCAAGCTGATTCGTGCAGGTCGCACAGCAGGCATTGGCTCGAGTGCCATGGCAGGCAGTGCTGTGCAGAAGTCGATTGGCGCAGGCCAAATTGGCACTTCTGAGATTGTGGTCTCGCACGGTGGCAGCAAGTTAAAAGTTGCCCCGAACATTGAGCAGATGGATTGATTCCATCTCGAAGATCAGTTTTGGTGGCGTTGGTTGCTTTGGTGATTGCAATTGCAGCAAGTCATTGGAGCAACGATTGGAACCTCTGCTGACCGTTTCTCAGGATTGCTTTGAGCAATGAATTGATTCGGATGCATTGGAGCAGTCGGTATGCCAAAGAGGCATTGCAGATCTCATTGCAAGCCTGAAAGCAAAAGCATTGAGCTGAGCCCTGAGTGCATTGTTCGATGTGAAGCCGATTGTCGTTAGTCGTTTCTGCTTGCGATTTTTCATATACCCAGTTGAATCGTCTGATTGAATCATTGTTTGCAGAAATCCTTGAATTGTGGCCCGAAGTAGAGCTGAGACAAAACACAATTGGCATGCTCACAAGAGCATTGACTCACTGCACTGGCTCAAGTCTCAAGTGGCACAGACAAGATTGCTGAGTGAGTGATTGCATCAAGTGACTGAGCTGTCCATCTTGTGGTATTGATTGTTGTGATCAAACAAGCCTGTGAACATTGACCTTGTAAAACTTCATCGGGGGGGGTTGGGGGGGGGGGGGGGAGGGGGTCGGGGGGGGCGGGGTGTCGGGGGGGCGGGGTGCTCGCCCCCAAAAAAAACAGGAGAAAGGGCGGGGGGGGGGGGGGGGGGGGGGAGGGGGTGGGGTCAGTAGGGTTCGGTGTTGCTGTGTCTGCTTCATTCCTTGTTTTTCTATCACTGTCTCCTATTTTTTCCTTTCCTTCGTGTCTGTTTCATTTTCATTTCTAGGGTCTAGGATTTGGGTTTCTTGTTGTGGTCGCCTACTTCGATTCGGGGTGCTTTTTTTCGCTTTGTCATTGTTTGTCTCCTTGTTGGTTTTCTGCTTGACCCACAGAATTGACTTGGCTCATTTGGCCTAACTGCTCGGATCTGTGCATGGCTTGTCCGATTTTTCCGCTGCATGCAGCAGCAACATCAAGCTGCATCTGCCAGACCTATAGCCGAAGTAATTACCAGAAGGTCAGTGCGGCTGTACACCGGAACATTCTTCTGCAAGTGACTGCAGTGGTTCCTCCATCCTGTCCAGACATCAAGAACATGCGGGCGCATGATGTAACCAGGTCTAGTCCCAAATCATGCTGCCCGGATACCGCATCATTCGGCATGGGCCAGAATAAAAGCCCACAATGCCCACGAGTACATCGAAGAGGCTCATTCTCACCGTCAGAATATACATGCGCAAGGGATGTCCCCATCCGCCGAGGAACTTTGATCAGCGGATACCATTACGCGCTTAAGCAGCACTGAGCAGGCACTGCCAAAAATCACGCATTCAACCTCAATGCGAAGGTACAAGGAGGGGCCCCCTAGCCATAAGTACGTAGAGTTATGAAGGGCCGGAGACGGATCATGGGTACTGTGTACCTTAGGTAAGAATCTCTTGTGGTAAGAAGTCCCTTGTCTCGAGTTTGTACAGTAGGGGGGTCCCTCCCTGTATGCCCCAGGAAGCTGGATAGCAGGCTCCATGCACCATGCATGCAGCGGCGCCAGCCGAAGCCCACGCATGTTTCTACAATGTTGCACAGCTCAACCAGCTTTCTCTGCGGCCACTAGCACCTGCATGGCGATAACGGCTCGCAATCCCTTCGGAAACTGGTCCGCTCGAGTAAGTTACATGTTGTGGCGGGCTTACTACCCTAAAAGACCGTCCTCGGAGTACATTTTCTTGAAGTCCTCCTTGGAGAAGCCCAAGTTCCAATTAATCCTCGGGCGATCAAACTTCTTGCTTGGGGATAGGGAAATAAGTAGGCTCCCTAGATCCCCCGATGTGAGGATCCTGGTTCTCCAATTCCCTATATCAATTATCACGAAGAAGCAACGTTGACACCATGAAGTTTTCCAAACATCCATATTTAGGCTTAGGGCCTCAGATTTCAGGGTTGTGGGGTTTCTGGTTTTACACGTCTCCGGAAACAGCTCTAGACGTGAAAAGAAACTCATGTGAGCCAGCCCCCCACAGAAGTGTCTGGCGAGCGTTTCCGGGCTTCATTGTGGTGGCTTTGAAGATGCTGAGACTGTTAGGCAGCTACGGTTGCATCACTCATCGCTACGACCGTCATGCTGTCAATTTTTGCACAGCTTGCTGCAAGAAGCTGGCGGCTTCGACCGCCTCAGAGTGCAGCCAGGACACATCTTGAGGAACTCCAGTTCAGCGGCGTTCAGCTCCTCCTGGGGTATTCCGCACACCTTCGCGTAGAAGGTATTACCTCAGAGGGGGATGCTCGCCACATGCTCCCCACAAAAGTCCTCAAATGCTGTGGGCGAGATGCTGTAGAAAATGTCGTCATGGAACTTCACGCTCACCAACCTTGTTTCATCTAGGTCAAACTCGTCCATTGGACCATAGCATAGAGCCAGCACTTGGACTAACGCCTCAAACCGCACATGTGCATGAATCATGAATGTGCATGTGCGCGTGTTTTTGAACTGTTTCTTCAACGAGCTCCTGGGGCAGAAGGCTTCCCCAAGTCAGAGTTCGTCTCTTACCTCCTTCATGGGGCTCAGCGGCTTCGAGTCTAAGAGGTTAGGCAGCACCCCTCCCCCTCCCCCCCCCTCAGCCCAACAAGGCCTCAGGCTGAGTGGGCTTTGTAGGCTTGTGTAGGTTTTCGGTCCAAGCGGCAGGCTTGTGGCCAGAAGACGGTGAATCGAAAAGACATTCACCACCTCAGGGATTTTAGGAAGTTTAGGGTTTAGGAGGGTTTAGGAGGGTTTAGGGTCAATCTGCTTTGACAATCTGACCCCAATAAACCTTGAGTCCCAAAAGCCTTGAAGTTTGGGGAGGCATGGTGCTTTTGAAGGAACCTTCTCCTTTTGGATACGAGTTTAGGCGTCTCTCTGCTTTGACTCGCTGGCTTTAGGTTTCAAGTTGCCACCGCTGCTTGGGGCTCAGAAATTTCTTGGCTCTCGAGTAGGGTCGAGGGCCTCGAACGGAGTTATATGACTTTTTCTTGCCCTGTAACTGAGCCCCTAGTAGCCCTATCACATACAAGTATCCACCAGGTGCAGCCGGTGCACAAAGTTAGGGCAGAGGTCCACCATGCGAATGATGTACACCAGCGCCAGGAGGAAGCACGCATCACTGCATTTAAAGTAGCTCCGGAGGCGAACCAAGTAATCCTCGATACTGATGCTGGGCTGACGGAGACCTCAGCGGTGAGCCTACTGCCTAAGTTGCACCTTTTTGCCGGGTTCAGGCCTGACACTGCTGAGGCTTTCTGTGTTTTTGAAGCCAGGGGACCATGGAAGCAGCTTGTAGTTTGGGAAGATCTCGCCTGCGCTGGAAGACCATGGACTCTCTAATTCGGGACTTCGGCACCTTATATCACCCTTTCACCCTTTTAAGGGAGCTGTTGTATGGACCCTTTTTCTTGCTCTTCGGAGGACATGTAAACCCTGAACGGCTCGATTGAGACTTCGCTACGAGCCAGGAGGTGTGGTCAGCGAGTCAAGCGTTAACACAAACAACCTTTTCAAAATCCGACCTCCAAATTGCCAAACCCTAATCACTTTAGGGTGTGGGGCCCTAGTGAGGCATGGACGGCTTGATTCCTGGCTGAGGGTCTTCTTTGAACGCAGTGTTTGTTCCAGGGAAAGGTCGGAACGCAAGAACACAGTACTGTCGACCAAGCCCTAAACCCTGGTGCCCGTCCCAAAGCCAGCTCCTCCGAGGCAAAATGGCACAGATTAGTGAAACTTGCTCGCAAATTTTGTGACCAGTTTTGGGTGCCAACTAGTTGGCTTCGAAGTGCCATCTGAGGACCATTCGCATTTACCGCTATGACTATCAATCTCGTAAGCGCTATCAATATTTGGATGAGGATCAGTATCAGTATCGGTAGCATTATTACCACTACTACCATATTACCGTTAGCATCAAACTTCCCATGCTTATCATCATTACACATGATGATCATTATTATCATCACTACCATCACTCTCAATAGGAGGATCATTGCCATGCGAGGGTGGTTTTTGTTGGGGGCGCGAGCCTAAACCTGAAACACTTAACCCTGTTCGTGCCAAGCTACCGAGTCCATCACATTGGCATACACTTTTGTCAGGGAAGCCTGGGCCACAAGTCTCCATGACTCCAAGCTGGACATGCGGAACGAAACTCTAAACCCTGAACCCACAAGGCTTCTGAAGTCTGGTCACAATCAGCTTTCCGCCATCGATTTCAATCATCTCTTTGTCTGAGCTCCCGTCAACCTGCTCAGGAACTGCACCATTCCAAACTTCGACAAGCACATTGCAAAGACCGGAATTACAGTATTGGGGACCCCTTGGACACAGCAACACAGCTGGTGATTTCCCAAGGGTGTGCCGGCTGAGACTTCCCAGAGAGTAAAAGGGTGTTGGATTGAGTCGCGTGGCGCACGGGAAGCGCATCTCGAAAGATCGCAAATTACACTGGTTTCGTACATGTTGTCGAATCGCGCTCTGGCCTGGGCCCCGTGCGCACTTTGTGATGTAGATAGAAATCGTTCTGCGGTGCGCTTTTTGAGGCTTGCGTCGCTCCGCGTCCTGAAGATGTGGCAGGCTCGTGGAATCTGCGTTTTGGGCCGTTGGAAGGGTTCGCTGCGTGCGTCCAGACCAAGGTGATTTGCAATTCGCGATGTTGGAAATCGCACTCCCGCGTAGCGTACAGCTCCATCCTCGTAACTTTCGTCGCTTTTGGACGTCAATGTTAGCGAAATGCAAAACTGTCATGCGAAACTGTCGTCGCTTCTTCGCGCTCCCGCCTATGCGCCGTGCGCATCGAAGTCGCCATGCTCGTAGTTGTCGTCGCGTTTGGACGTCCGGCTTCGCGAAATGCGAAACTGTAGTCGGTTTTGGACGCGAAAATGGAAACTGTGGTGGCGAAAGTCGACTGCTGCGGTACAAATGTCGTACGCCGAGGGCGTCTGGAGCTCCAGTGGCATCAAAGTCGTTCTTTCGTGATCCATGAAATTCGTCCACTTGTGGGTGTCCAACTGAGAGGTGCCCGACTGGGGGTGCAGAACCGGGGGGGTGCCCAGGTTCGAGGAAAGGAATTCCACTCTCCACAGCGCTGCATCAAAAAAAATTGTGCAGTAACATGTTCATGTCATTCACTGATGTTCCATGTCCATCTCTGCTGCTCGGGTTGTTGTGCGCCGACTAAGGTATTGCTGGTACCAGTGTAGAACGCCTTGCCAACATGCAATCGGCACAAAGACTGTATCATTTAGCATCCCATGTGCTTACGCTAGGTGCCGCTAGCTGCCTGCTCTTCTCTCTTCTGGCTGTCTTTGCCAGCTTGCGACTTCACATCCCGGAGGATGTCGCGCCTCCCAGGCCGTGTCGCGATTGAGCAGTGGAGTGGTAGGTTTTGAGGGGTTTGGGGTTTGTGGCGTTGGCAGATTTACAGCTGGGTTCTCGGATTTGCTAGGTTTCTCGGGTTAGAATCAGCAGCGTAGGGGCCTTGCATCTGCTCGGAGGGCACCATGGGGATTCGATGCTTCCCGGCCTGAGCGTCCACCGTGTGGGCGGGTTTATTTAGGGCTTATTCAAAGGTTTTGGAGCAGCAGCATAGCTTGGACAACACCTCTTGTTGTCTGTGCCGCGTGGCTTTTAACGGTTTGGGTTTTGCTGAGTAGCTTGTGGGGTCTCTACCCTAGTGTCGTGGTTGCGGTGAGGGACAGAAATTGGCGTTTGGACTGCCAATCGTTCGGTAGTTATCAATTCTCTCATGACGGTTTGTGGCAATGCAGGGGTTTGGAGACTTCTCGGAGCTGGGGTCACGCATCCCAACACCACGCTGAGTGCAGGTCGAAGACACTTGGTGAATCGCTTGATGCAAGGCCTCGCAGTTGAACTGTCCGAGCGAGGCATCGAAAGGGTAGTCGCTACGTCGACGTGCTGATGTAAGCTGAACTTCCCCCCGCGACCTGACACGACCTGACACGACCTGACACCTGCTCGAGGCCGATATATATTATATTCATGCCGGGCGAAGAGCCCAGAGAGCTAAAAGTAACTTTCGAAGCAGCCGCTAAGCAGCGACTGCAAACTACTTCCTAATCCTACGCGTGCCCCTTCTGTAATCCGGGTTCGCCTCCTACAGAGAGAAGTTGAGGGTTCTGGGCTTTATGAAGTGGGCCGGACCTTCTTACAATATTCGAAGCAAATCGGTAGAGGGCGAGTGGCAGGTTTGGATCCTTCATACTGTCTTGAAATTACTGGCAACCCCCCCCCCCCCCCCCCCCCCGCCCCCCCTCCCCTCAACCGCGCCAATGGCTTCTGTTCACCATCCACTCCCAAGTTTCACAGAGTATGCACTCAGCAACACAACCCCCCCCTCCCCCGCCCCCCACTTCAATTTGATGAGGGAGCCTCCTCTTGCAAGAGTGTTCGGTCCGCAGCCTCGTTGTGTAGAGCACTCGCTGAGCTCCAATGCTCACAATGGCCCAACAATGTTCCCCCCCTCCCCCCCCCTCCCCCCAAAAGTGTGTGTGTGTGTGTGGACGTTGGCCCAACATTCTCATTCGCGCGGATGTTGGCCCCTGGAGGATGCCGGCGCTAAAAACACAGTCAACTTAAGAGTGTGATGCTGGCATATGTGGATTGACCCGTTCACCGGCGCACATGCACGCACAGCCCCTAGCAATCTGAGGACATACATTCACATGATATGTAAAATCGTATCCTTTAAAGTACATACAATAATCTTGCATGTAAGTATGTATGCATGTATGTACGTATGTATGTGTGTATATATATATATCTATGCTTATCTATAAATTGTACGAAGCATAACGTATAGCTGACATGGCTGACATGGGAAACCAGCCAGTCAACCAAAAGTACTGACTGCATTGCGTGGGGCCTCCAGGGAGTCGACGTCATTCCCATGACTCCTGCACACGCACACATGCAGAGTTTCTGGCGCACAAGCCCACATCTCTGATTGAACGGCATACTTGTCAAAATCGTGCGCCTCCCCTTTGAGGCTCCCGAGTATGCAGGTTCCCTTGAGCCGAGTAGTGGCAGAGGTTTCAGGCGCCCTCAACGCAAAGACCTCTGTGGGAACCTGAGCCCTGAAGCTGGGGCTGCCTTATTGGCTCTATGCTCTTCATTGCTCCCCACTTCTCTTTCCTTTCTGATGCCTTGCACAGCTTTTGTCGCCGCACAACCCAATGCAGGCTGACGCGTTGTTGTTTTTGCGTTGCGGCGCCATGCAGCTGTCTGCTTTCAGCTCTGAACCGGCACGTGGTAGCCGGCCTCTATCGGCGCCTCGTGCACGAGTAAAGTCGTGCACGGCCTATAACCCAACAGAACCGCAAAAGGTTGGTCCCCTTTGGGCGAGTCTGGGCCAATGTCCCCCCCTTAACATGTAGTGCCACGAAGCTGTTCACTGCACATAACTCTCCGAGAGGGGTGCCAGATCATCTTCCATAGCCGCCTCTGCCAAAGCAACGACAAAACGCTCAAGGGTACAATGCGAAGGGTACACGAAAGCGTGCCCTGATTAGGCATTGCGACGCTTGGCCATGGTAAAGCCTAAGCTGTACACCCGAAACCCCATCCACGTTTGCCAAGCAAGCTTCTGGTCAGCAAGGATCCTGTGCCACAGTTGCCAAAGCACTTGCCACCCCCCCCCCCCCCCCCCC